TTTCCTGCTGTCTTGCTCTGGGGCCACCTCCAAGAGAGGCTGCTGGGAGGGCCAGGATGAAGAAGAGTTCACTGCTGCTGCTGTGACAAAACCTCCTGGAGGATAAAAGTTCTTAGTGACTTGTATTTATGGAAAAAGAAGTATCTCAGACGTGCAAAACCATTTGCACACTTGGAGAACACCACAAGATCTGAAGCACTTTTAGTGCCACTGGGGCAGCTGCTCCACTGCTGAACGTTTGAAAGAGAGATTTCATGATTCATACACATGGGAAGTTTAAATATTTACAGAGTGTTTCTAGAATTTAAACATTTCCTTTTGAAGAGGTCTGTGGGATGTTTGCTGGCTCCTCCTCCACACCATGCACATCTGCCCCAGCCAGCAGAACAGAGTGAAAGTAAGAGGTGCTCACACTACCCAGAGATGCAGCCCACTTGGAGGGCTCTGCTCTGCCTCTTGGCTTGATCCCCTGCACCACAGGAGGGGCAATGAGAGCACCTACAGCAGCAAGAGATGCAATGGAGAGACAGCCAGCTTTTGAAATGAGAGAGCCCATTGGAACATCCAGCAACAGCAGCTGAAGGGAGGACATGTCAAAGGAGAAGGGAAAAACACCCAAGGCAGAGGAACAGAATCAACTGAAAGCCACAGCAGCTCTGGGAGTCCCTCCCCTCCCTGTGCTTGGGGTTACAAATGTGAGCAGATGTGACAGCAGAGATGGGTTACACCACTTACATTCTTTTTAGGTCACATTTCCCTCAGAAATCTGACCAGAGAATTAAAAAAAACAACAAAACAACTGAGTTGAGCTACTATTTACTACTGTATTTACTGAGTGTTCTATAAACATCTCCAGACAAGTGTGTACATCCACCAGCAAGAGTTTAGTCAAGACCCCTGCACTCCAGAATCACAGAAGCAGAGCCCAGAATTTGATATTTACATCAGGAAAGGCAGAATGTACCAACAGCTTCCCTGGCTGGTGGGAGCAGATGCTTTGCAGGGGAAAAGGGGCAATCCTAAAGCAAGCAGCTCTCTGCTCAAGCCATTCCAAACTCATTGCAAAGAGAACTCACAATATTGCCAACTAACTCTCCAGCAGCCCTTGCTGCAGCCCCCAGGAAGGCAAGAGCCTGGGGAGCTGCTGAGCTGGCATGGGAAGTGACACCACTTGGAGAAGTCCAGCACAGCACTCCAGCAAGATGCTCCAGGGTTCAGAGGATTTAGGAACTGAAACTGAAGCTTCACCAAGACCTTTGTCAGGTCACAAACAGAACACCAAGCAACACAAGAGTTCTTCACAACTGCAACATGCCAGAATTAGGGGAGAAGCAGGTGGCTGAAGGAGACAAAGAGCAGAAGAACAAGAATATCATTCCCTGCCCAAGGGAAAAAGAATCATCAACCCATCAGGAAGGGAATGGGGGGAAACTTTGCCTTTAGATCTGCAAAGAGACACTTCCCCAAAACTCTACATACTTCTCAGGGGAAAGCAGAAGTCATGCTTGTTTAAATAGAATAAACAAATACATATGTAAGTCCCAACAACCACCACAGGCAGCAATGCATCACTAAACAGGTAAGAAAACTACAGGTGCCAGTATCCATTTAAAGCTTTTATTAAGGAAGACCCAGAATTCACAAGTCCACAAGGAAAAAACAAACCACATGCACCAACCAACCTGAGATCTGCCAGTGTTTGGTTCTGAGGGAGCCCACAGAGCACCAATAAGAACTAGCACAGGTTGGTGACTTCAGCACCAAACTCAGCACAGCTCCCAACTGCTACTTTATTTTCCTGGATTGTTCTTCAGAAAGCAGAACTGTGAACCAAAACAGCCCTGGCTTAGTCCTTCAGGAAGGTGGTGATCTCCTTCAGGAACATCAAAAATCTCCACTGAAAAGTCTCTTTAAAAAAAACAACCTTTAGACCAAGAGTTTTCTAGAAGTTCTGCTTAAGTTACTATAGGCAAAAATAGATATATTTAGTACTACAACAGTGCATTTAACTTATTTTTAGTTACAACCTCTTCAAAGCACACCCATTTTCACATTAATTGGGACTTACACGAGGTCATTGCTAAGCTGGTGTTGAGTTCCAGGGCTAGCACTTCCAGAACTGTAACACTGACATTGTACAGCTCCACTTCCTCTGGAATATTTGCTTGGACAGGAATTAAAAAAGGCCATTTTTTCCCCCTCCCATTTTTCTATAAGCAGAATGGAACAGACCATTTCCCACACAGTAATCAGGCTGTCCAACTCCAGAGGCTCAGTAAGCCCCACCTACACCAAGGCTCAAGCCACAGCCCTGTGATACCAAAACTTTCACATGAAGAACAAGTCTTTGCTACTGACTGGAGCTACTCACTGGGTATTTTAAGACAGGAGGCTGCAGCACATACATCCAACTAACCAGGTGGTTCTTCATCCATACGTGTGTTATTTGCCCAGTGTGGAGGGGCAGCTTAAGCCAAGTATTTGTAAAAACAGGATCTGGGTTTGCAGAAAAGTAGGGTGGCATCACTCTGCTTTGGCTGGGGTAGTTGTCAATTCTGGAAACTAAGTTTTGTGGACCAGGAACTTCAGTGTGTTTCTGCTTTTGCAAGTGGGGCAAGATGCTATTTCAGGAGGCTTCTGTTTGCCATTGTTGAGAAACAGGAAGAGTAATTATCTGGTAGCTGCAAAAAAATAGAATTAAAAAAAATCACGCATCAGAATCAGCCTGTTCCTCAACTTGCTATGTGGTTCACCAGCCACTGATTCATTTATTTCCATTGTCTTCATTAGATTTGTTTTAAATTATCATTTCTGATCATACATTTAGCATCTTAACCAGAGGTTGATTTGCTGGCTATTGAAACAAGCTGAGTTCTTATATTAAGTATCTCAGTGTTCTCCTTGTTATAACTCCTTGTTATTGAAGCCACTGCTTGGTTACTGATACCTGAGTGCCTAGTCTGGAGAGGTATTTGTTCCTTAAACTAAAGTCATCAGCTTTTGGCTGCAATTTAGCCAAGTCATCTTCATTCTGATGTCTGAGCCTCTCTTGTTCCTCCACTCTGGAAAAGAAAATTGGTTTCAGATACTTGCACTGAGGAGTGCAAACCCCAGCAACCTCACCTGCTGTGTGCAGCTTGCTTTTCAGTAACTAGGAGAAGCTTTGGATATTATAGATTAATAGTAGTTATCAGATGAAAAGAAGACATGTATGGACTATTCCAATGGAAAGAAAGAGAGAGGCTGTTTTCTCCAGTTTCCTTTTATTTAACTGCAAGACTTTAAAAAGAGAAACCTTTGGGTTTTTACAGATTACTCAGTGATTACACAGATGCTCAGTGAGCTTTTGTAACAGTCTTTCCCATCTCTTTATTAAACAAGCTTTCACTCCTTAAAATAAAGATTACAGTACAAAAATAACTGCTTGTCAAAAATGCAAATAAAAGACTGCTCAGCAGTCCTCAGAATTCATTGCAGTCTCCTACAAAAGAGTCAATATTTGCCCAGAGCACTGTGGCTCTTTTTCCATGTAAGTCTTAAAGAGAAACAAACAGGACCAGACAAAGCCCTAAAGACACTTCAAGACCCTGGTTTGCAGCAAGGCAGTGACAAAGGCAGAGACAGTGACCCGTTTCCAAGCCCTGCAGGGCAGGGACCCTCAGCACAGAACATCAACTGCCCTTAGGTTAAGAAACCTCCACCCAAAAGGCAGAGCTGCACCCAAGAGACACCCTGCTAGTCTGTATCTTAGGATCAACGTGTCTCTCACACTGCAGAACATCCTCCCCAGTGACAGAGCTTAACACCACACTATAAACCCATTCTGTTCAAATGAAGAGATGATTTGGCATCAGTGCAGGTGACAAAGCATACAAGTTAGGAATGTACTGTGAACCTCCCAGCATGTTAGTTTCTTTTCCAAAGAGCTACTGTGCAGAGTGACCGAGCTAAACAAGACTATAATTCTTCAAGTTGCCATGATGCTGATCAAATGCTCCCCACTTCTGGATGATACTTGCTATTCAACTTTCTTTTCTGAAAAAAACATCGCAACAAGAATTACTGAAAACATCGTTCTCTGTCCCACAAGACACACCAACACAAAACCATCTTTCACAGTAACTACTGGAGGTGTCACACACATCCCACAAGGGCCAAGCAGACTGAAAAGCAGCTTTATTGGGACAGAGAAATCCTTTGCTCCTGGATACAAAGTGGGGGGTTTTGTTGTTGCTTTTGTATTAAAATCTGTCTGCGACCTCTGGGCTCAAGGATGATACTTGTCACAAGCAAGCTCAGCAGGTCTGCTGAGCTTTTAGTTCCCTTGAGCTTCCCTCAGGAGTGATGTGTAACCAACCCATGAATTAGGACAAGAAACAAAACCATGTGAAACTCCACAGATCACCTGGCTAGACCTTGTTGACAGGTATTTTAGTTTTGGTTTGGTTTTTCCAAGACTAACTGAAGCAGCACCACGTGGCCAGTTACACAACCCAGTTTTAGAGAAGTCCATTCATAAAGAGACATCCCGTTAGCAAAGGAATCTATCTGGAATCAACTTATCTATCAGCTGAAGGATGTGCAGCATCTGCAGGTGAAATGTAGTTACCCATTGAAAAGTAAAGAATTCCAGCAACATCACAGGCAAATGAACAAGACCTGAGGAGACTCACTGAGCTGAGTGAGCTCAGAACTGAAAGCATTTTTAAAAAATCCACATACCAGCAGCTTGGCTTCTGCAGCTGTTATCTGGAAAGCTGTGACTTGCTGCACATTGACTCTTTCACATGACAAATGTCAAACTGTGACTGGAGTCATGAAACACACACACTGTGCCCTCTCCAACAGGTCTCAATCCCAGCCTCACTAAAAGGAATTCAGATCAGAGGAGCAGAACCTCGGATTTCTTAAACCTGTTCTATCTTTATGCAAATTACACATTTGCTTTAAATATATATATATCTTTTTAATCAATAAACTAACCAAGAGGGGATAAATCCAGTGCCCCACAACTCAGGGGATATCCCAGCAGCAGGACTGAGACCCTCCTGTTTGACCAAACACTCTTAAAAAGCAGGAGTATCTGGTTCCAGTTCTCAGGGACCTTTAATGTCACCAATTTTTAATCAAGACCAAAGAAGAGATTTTTTTTTAAGTGACTATTCTGAAGAGTGTCACTATCCTTATTTTCCACAGAGAGGAAACAAGGACACACAAGACTCCCACAGAATGAAATCTGCTTAATGGGGTGAACTGTCCAAGTTTACCTCTTTTGACAATTTCTGCCCTCAGCCCACCTCAAGTGTTCCATTTCCTTCTCAAGGAAGTGGATTCCACCTGATGGAAATACCCCATTTTCTCCCTCAACCCAGGGTCTTTTCACTCTCAGCCCACCTCAAGTGCTCCATTTCCTTTTCAAGGAAGTGCATTCCACCTGATTGAAATACCCCCTTCCATTTTCTCCCTCAACCCAGGGTCTTTTCACTCTGATCACTGACATTTATGCCACACACCAAGTTTCACATCAGTGCTGCAATTTAGACTCAAGCCTTGGCTTTCAGAGACAAGTTGAATTAAAGCTTCCAAATAAGACAGCAAGAGGAGCAAGTTCAAAATGAAAGAGAAGTGACACCCGCTGAATTTTTGTTTCCTCTAATCAGTCCTTCAGAGGAAGCAGGAATATGAAATCCTACTACTAATGGATAAGAAATAAAACAACATTCAGTAAAAGTGACAGGCCCAAAGAGACTGACTTCAGACAGTAACCTACTTAATTACTTCAGGTTAAATATTCTATAAGGATCCTGGTCTTTATTATCCTTTATACTTACTCAGTGGCAACTGCTTTTTGCAGTTTTTCCCTCTTCTTTGCAGACCAGTTTAGATCACCACCTGCAAAAGAACATCCACTTTGAAACTCCTAACTTTTTTGATATCAAAGACATCATAACCTCTCTGCAGAAGTCCTCAGAGCACTTGATAAAAGAAACCAGTGGAGTCATTTTACAAAAGTAGAAACTGAGGGAAAGATCAGTGTGTTCATCTTCATCTGAGCAAGCAAAATCAGGACCCAAACTAATCTCTTCAGTTTTCTGTTGAGTAACAGTGAAGTTTCTCTACAGCTCACCACAGTACCCTCCAAAAATAAAGCAGCAACCTTGAAAGAGAAAGTAACATCCCTTCCAGATCCTTCAGTAGTTACTCCTTCAGAAGGCAGGTGAGAAAGAACACTGCTCTTTGGAGGGAAGTCTACAGAATTCAGGTTTTATATTTGCAGACATAGGCAGTTTAGGAAAAGCTGCAGGACATCTTCCAGCTCTGCTGAAGCCAGCTGAAAGGACAGGTCCCAGCTTCAACCACTCACCTGTGAGGTGATTCACAAAATACAGCATGACTACAGCTATGAGTGACACTGAGGGGAAAAAAGAAAAGGAACCACTTCAGCTGACAATACGTTTACAGTGAGAGAAGAACAGCTTTAACATTCAGCCAAGCAACAACTAAGATTTCTTCATGATAGCTAGAACTGAGGGGAGATGTTTTGCCAGCAGCATCTCTAAATTGCTTCTGAAAATTCCACTGTGCTCATAAGCAGCATGGTAACCCAGAAAAGGTTATTTCAGTTATACCAACAGCAGCCCTCAAACACAGCCTTTCAGTGTATCATTTACCTGCCCTTTTACTCCCTATTTACTCACCTACCCTTTTAGTTACCCTTTTTTTTCCCAAACACTGAAATTACTTTCACCAAATCACAAAGAAACCCACAAAACACTTCCCTAGTTTTGAGCTACTTTCAACACTGCCCCAGGTGAAAGTTCTAAGTGTAAGAAAGGAATTACTACTCTTTTACAGGAAACAGCAAGAAAAAAAGCCTTATCAAGCTTCCTGAATGTCCAGAACCCATTATCAGTGTTTTTAATACTTACAGCAAACACAAGCACTGAAGAAGACTTCAAGAAACAAGTATCCTCTTGTGTCCAGAATCATCCCAGCTGCTATAGCAATAATGGCCAGCCCCAGGTTCTGGATAGACTGCATGCTGACACAGAGCACAGGGTTACCATGGCCACAAGGCTCTTTTTAAAGAAAACAACATTAGCAGCACTGAACAAACAGTGAGATTAACTTCTCCCTGTTGATTGGAGCACACGCAGACAACCTGAAACTACAGAAGACTTCCTGCTGGATGGAACTGGGAGGAACTGGGAACCATTAGTGTGTGAGAACTGCCCGTTGTGCAGTTTTGCAGTGTCAGTACCAGGTCCTGGTCACTGCAGGGCAGCACAGTAAGGTTTAAGTACTTACAAGCCATAAGCAGTTCCCAGCTGGTGTTCTGGAACAACAAAGGCCACCATGGGCCACAGGGCACAGGCAAGCAGTGAGTAGGCCACTCCCAGCAAGCACTGGGGAAGTAAATAACAAATACACAGATGTTTGCATTTTTTTTGCTGCAAGGCTTTAACAAATTAACATACTGGTTCTCCCCTTCTCCCAAAAGAGAGAGGAAAACAAAAGAGCAGTAATAACACTTTCTGCAATATTGTTCTAAATAAATATGCACATTCAGAAGGAGAGGGAACTTCTTCCAGAAGTGACCCACAAGCTCATCCCTATCTAATTAGCACTGAGTACAGAGCCTGACTTGAATACCCACAGGAAATTGCATCAATGATGCAATTCACTAGAAAAACACCTAAAAACCAAGGACCCTGATACACTGCTCAGCACCATATTTAAGCCTGTGAGCCTTAGTTCAAAAGCAATTTCTCAGGGCATCTGCCCTAGGAAAGGGAAATCAGCAACCAGGATTTTTATTGAGTTTACCACCATCCAACACAGCATGAGAGTAGTGAGCTTCAGAACTACACCAAAATAACAAGTTCTAGGAGAAAAGACAGCACATGGCACAGGCAGCTAGTAAAGAGGACTGTCCATGAAGCATGAGAGCAACCTGTGTGACACAGCACCACCCAAGCACAGACACTGAGGAACTGAAACCTTCTCTGAAGGGCCAAGGACTTGCCACTCCACACAACTCAGTGTAACTCCCCTTCTTATATCATACTTAGCTCCAAGAATCCATTACCATTGCTATCCAGGGGTTCCAGAAGGTAAAAGCCAACATAATGTGAGAAGCAAGTGTAGTTATTACAGCACACAAAACCCAGATGATGTTCTTCCCAAGTTTATCCACCAGGAGCCCAAAGACTGGAGACAGGGGTGCTGAGATGATATACACAATGCTACAAGAGAATGAGAAGAGCTGCACACCAGCTGGCCATGGACAGCTTTCTGTGCCACACAATGCAAGTGTCTCCAGAAAAAAAACAAACATTTGCCCTTCTTACCTGTGAGGCCAAAAGGAAACAACCACAGCAAAAAGAGCCAAACAGACCCCAGAACTCCCCCAGAAGGTCTGAAGACATGAAAACACTCAACCACCAGAGAAACAGAGACACACTTGGAGCTCTAGGAATCATATTCCAGCAAGTGTGGTGGTTTTTATTTGGGTTTTTTGTCACCTCACAAATTCATCTTCAAACTTGGAAAATTTAGTTCATTTAATGTTGCTCTTAAACTGCTTCTATCACCCAGAGCAGAATCAGCAACACAAAGAGAGGCTTTTCTCTCCAGCTTCTCACTGTGAACACCTAAACCATTTTTATTTCACCAAACACCCACACCTCCCAGTTATCCCTTGGGCCACCTGAAACCCATCTGTTTACTTCAGTGCAAGTCACCACCTGCAGCAGTAGAACCCAAACCTCCTCCCACATGGAGGGAGCCCTGCAACACAGCAGGAGCACACTTACTTGTTAAATCCATCACAACACACCTGTTAATTGCACTTGCTTCTCGAGATGAGAACTTGAATTTCTCAATAAAGAAAACCCTAAAGAAAAAAACACACAGATTTAGAAAAATGCACTTACCTGACCTGAAAGAAAAACTAAGCTAGACAAAACAAGGACACCAGAACCTAGTTTATAGAAGACTTAAATATTATCATGCAGTTTTGATTAACACCCCCTCCCAGGTCCTCATAAGGAGCTGATTAGCAGACTCTACAAGCCTTTCCCTAAGGACTATTCAAATTCCACTCTGGAGAAAACATCCACAGCACATCACCAGCCTGCCACCTAATAATTAGGCATGAGTAATGAGCATTCTGTACCAGACAAAGTGAGAATTTTTAGAATACATACACAAGCAAAATACAAGCATCTACACCTGAGCCCAGGAGTCCTGCTTCTCTTTCCAAGAATACTCAAACCCTTCAAACTGAGCCACTGGATCACCTCAGGTGGCTCAAAGGGAAACCTACATATAAATACATCCAGTTGAACTTGGTATATGCCCAAGTCAGCACATGAAGAGAACTTCAGTCTCCAGCTGCACCTATATCTAAGCTCCCACCTCACACTCAGCAGCTTCTGGATATGGAAGGAATTCTACTTGACAGCTGCTCACAGCTTTCCACACCCAAACTCCTCCCATGCTTTAAATCTGGATCAAGTTTTAATCAGCACTGGAGGATACATTATGCTTTTGAGTTCTGACAGGTCAGTTCAAGCCAAGCAGGGGTGTTTCCCACACAGCTCAACTCTTAAGTTGTGGTAATTTGTATCACAGGTATAGAGAACAACTCCAGAAAGTGACAAGCCACAGCACAGACTTGCCAGGGCTCTGTAGCCACCTGGGATTCTTAAATATTAGCCTGCACCTCTCCCTTTGGAAGCAGCCAAGCAAAACCCAAACCAAACCCCAGAGGAAGAGCCACACAGGTGAGAGACACTTACTTTCCAAGCCCAATGAAAGGAAAAACTGCTGCATAGTAACAGACACAGATGACAAAAATAAGCCACAAGGACAAGGAGAAGTCCTTGACGTCCGTTAGCTTAATCACTTCACCTGCAGTTGGGCAAGAGAGAATGTTGTTTCAGTCACCATAAGCACATCTGAAACTCACCCACACTGAACAAACCCTGAGGTGAGGACAGGCCTGCTCCTGCCACGAACCAGCCTCTTGTCTCCAGTTTACTCAGGGAGACCCAGTTAAGGACATGCAAGCCCTAAATCCACAGTGCCAAAGTCAAGAACAAATTGTCTCTCCCACATGAAGCTGGATGTACAAGTTCTCTAAAGCCTCTGCAAGTCTTAAAGTAGCAGAATTAAATGCAAGCCACGTTTTCAAGGAAATGTTTAATGAGCTGGCAAAAGTCATGTCTGAATCCCACATGGAAAACTCAACACACTGACAGAGGAGCTGCATGTTTTTGCTCACCTACTGAAGGAAATAAGACCAAGTCCTTAAAACAAAGCACCAGTGGTAATGGCACAGATCAAACTGGTTTGAACTGGGAGGCTCTCCACATGATTTATAAATAAAGCAGATGAGTGCACCTGCCTGTAAACTGCTGTTTAGAACTGTGCCACCTCCTACTGCTACAGAAATGAACTGAAAACTATGATTAAAGCTGATACTGTGGAAAAGCCACTGAGCAGCTGCCACTGAATTACCCAAAATGCAAAGAGCACTGGCAACTGAAAGGGCCTGTTCCAGAAGGAAAGGGTGAACCCAAGGCAGATCCAGCCCCACACTCACCTGTTTTCCCTTGCTCTTTACACAGGAGCTTCTCTGCTCTCCTGTCCAGATAAGCCAGGATTAAGGCACAGGCCAGTGAGAAAAGACACGTTACCCCACCTGCCAGGGGACAATGCCACAGGTTTAGTTGTTGAATCAGGTAATGAACCAGCTTTTAAGCCCAGCTGGTGCAGTGTAGCTTCACATATCCAATATAAATGAAGATTAACAGCAGCTTGTAGCTGTACATCTCAGAGTGAGGTGGAAATGCTGAAGCCTGTCACCTGAGACACCTGCCTTGAGCTGGAGCACATTCATTTGATTTACAACATCAGCATCACCCCCACCCAGCTCAGCCAAGCTCCTTACTGGTAACTCACAGTAACAGAAACAAAGCCTGGGCCCTCTTACCAACACCATGGCCTTACTACCCATGGCTCTGAAGGGCAGGAGCACAGACCCAAAGGTAGCTGAAATTACAGTTTTACATATCTGCCAACTACACACAAGCTTTGAGATGATTCCCTTCAGAAAGTGTCTCAAGCCTGTCCTCTGCTCAGAGCATGTTACAGGTTTCATTTCCATAAGATACAGACTTGGATTTGGCACCCACAGAACTCAGCCAGCAGCTGCAGTCATCACACACTGCATAACAACATTAGCCACTGACACAAACAGTATCTGAACTGCTCTTCCTACTCTCAAATAGATTTCACCTGCCTTCAAGCTAGTGAGAAATGACTCACACACAGGCAAGATGTTTAAATTCAGAATCCCAAACCAGCAAGTGATACAATTAAAAAGATTGCTGACCTATCATGAGAGTGAACCCAAGAGTGCTGGGCCCAGTATATCCCAGGAGATCTTGAACTCTGGAGTATATCCATCCCATGATATTCATGTTCACTGTGCTCCCCTGGGCAGAAGAGACTCATGTGAAGAAGAATGTATTTCACAACTATATGAATTCAAGAGGATCATTAGGCTTGTTGGAGAGAGTTGAAAACAAACAGGTAAGATGCTACACAGGGAACATCAACCACCAGCCACCAGAGTATTCCCTGCTGGTTGGGTCAGACAAATTAACTTTTGCAGCAATAACAAGGGTCACAAACTGAACAGTGTTTAGGTGGAGACATCAGAAATGCCATAAAATCTACACCATGCACTGCATTAACTCCTGAACTGACACACATGGAAGCAAACAGGATTCCCACCTGAGAGGCACCAGGAACAAGCAGGAGCTTCCCCCCTCTGCCCTGAGAGAAGGGATCCATGGCTGCAGCCCCCAGGCTAACAACAAGCAACTACAGTTCAGCTGAGGCACCTGCTAGTTAACAACAGCCTGACCACCACCCCAGGCATGACCAGCTCACCTCTCTTACCCAGGTAAATCCTGTGGTGCTGTAGGACACCCCAGGTTGCTGAGGAGAAGGAAGGTCCCCCCCTCTCTTCACCACAGCCTGGTGTGTTGAAGTGAACCACCTCCAGCAGCAGCTCCAGTGATGCATCAAACCCAAACAGGACCAGGGACACAAACATCCTGCCAGAGCAGGGAAGGATGGGAGCCCAAAGCAGCCTCCCCAGCTCCCTGATCAGAGCCTGCACTCAGCCACCCAGTTAAAGCAGCACTTCCTGAGGTGCCAAGAATCAATCAGCCAGATGAAATGCAGCACTGTGACTGTCCCTCCCAGTCATCCCCACTCATGACACCACCAGGCTTCTGCAGAAGCTGAAGGTTCTAACAAATCTCATTAACCCATTTCCTTGTGTACCCTTTGTCCACCAACCACAATTTTAACATTGTAAATTCAAATGTCACATCCATTCCTAACTTGAGCTCCCTGGGGAGCAACAGAAATGCTGTTTTCCACCTGTTCCCCTGCCAAGAGAAGGTGCCCACCTTCAAGTCCAGGAATTAGAGCTACACATGTGCCACACTTACAATTCTGGCCATGCTGAGCTGTAATCCAAACACCAGGTTTAACTCCTTGCCTTTAAACCAACTGACTGCATAAGTGTTTTGTGCCACAGCCAAGGACTCTCCCCCTATTCTGAAACAGAAGGAAAGCACAAAGGAACACACATTAATTGCAGGCTGCAAAGCAAGGAGGAAGCAATTCACCAGCTGCTTGCAATGCCAGGGGGACCATTTCAGAGGAGCTGATCCCTGTACAGGCAGAGCTAATGCTTGTGTGCTGGGTAATCAAGTCTTAAAGACAAATCCAAAGAGAACTGCAGTGTCAAGGATAATTAAGAGTGCAAGGCATCTTAATTGCCTTTGGCCACCTACAGAAACCAAATCAATGGGCAGCAGCTTCTCATTTAGCTTCAGTATTGAGCAACCAAGTGGTCTAGATCCTGACCCAAATGAAACCAGAAGCAGGAATCTTACCTGGAATCATCTGACCCCTCCAGCACACCAGGGGCAGAGTTTCTAGCACTTTTATGCTGTGGCACATTCACAACTGGGAGGTATTTATTCTGGCATTTGCTCTCATCTCAGGCCACATGAGGAGCTCTACTGGTTTTGTTGTTGCCAGGGATTCTTTTTACTCAGGAAATAAGAATGAGAAGGGGAACTGCAGCTCTGCCAGCTCCCTGGATGTCTTCATTTGGGTCCATTCACCATCCCTGAATTCAGCAGCCAGGTTTCCCAGACAGACACAAAACCTGCAAAGTTCTGTTTTCTGTTTTTCTAACTTTAATTTCTGCAGGGGATGCAGCTGAAGAACCTGCACCTCTGCAGGTGCCTCAAAATCCATCAGTTTTGCCTCTGAGTGTCAACATGGCAGCAGTTTTCCAGGACACAGAGGGCAGGTCCTTGCCTCAGAGAGCACTATCCCCCTCCCAGACTCACCCAAATATGAATCTGCCTGCATCCATCAGCCAGAAAGCATTGATCAGTGCTCCCAAAGCAAAAACCACCTGCCAGGCACACATTTAAGGGAAAATCATTATATTTGAAGTACTGAACAAACTAGAAGCAACACAGAAACCCTCAGAAAACAGAAGCCCTCACCACCTCCTTTGCACTTACCTGGCCAACACAAACAAAGACACTAAATATTATAGTTCCCAACCTGTAAGAAAAACAGAATCACTTAATGCAGAACTAGAACCTTTTTCTTTTTGGCTGCAAAACAGCCCATGAGGCCTGCAGCAAGGAAACAAGGGGAGGCTGATGTGCAATACAAGGGTGTCTGTAATAAGACAGTAAAGGTCATACAGACGTTTGCATTTTAAAGCTGCTTTAATGAAGCTGGGAAGGAAAGGAGGAGCGTTTATAGCAGAGGAAATCCCTAGATGACATGCAAACCGATTTGAAGCAGCTGCCAGCCCCTGAAGCCCGTGCTCCACGTGCACCTCAGGGGTGACACCCCCCACTCACCGTATCCCGAACACCCTGTCGATCAGGAAACCCCCGAAGAAGCAGAGAACCACGTTGGGCCAGGAGTACCAGGCGTAGAGCGACATGAACTGCGCCGTGTTCACCTTCATGTCCTGCGGGGGAGGGGGAAGAACCGAGGGCACCACTTACCGGGGTGGGGGGGGAGGAAGAACAACCACAGAGGCCAAGCAGCTCCCTGAGCTGTCCGGGCTACTCACCCGCTGCACCTGCGTCTGCAGCGCGGCGGGGCTGTCGTAGCAGAAGTAGCTGCCTGAGGGG